GGTTTTTCCTGAAAATTGACTCTTAATTCTGCCATGGCAGGATTTGAACATAGGTCCCCAGAATAATTAGCCAAGTTTCTAGATTGAAAGTTGAGCAATAATACCACTAGGCCATTGCATCCCCTTCTGTAGAGTTCATTTGTGCACTGACCTCTCATCCTGGACTCATTTAGAACTTGGATTCCTGTATCCTATCCACATTAAGTTGTGATCATCCATAACCTCACTCCAGTTTAATTGTTTGGTTCTTGTTTTGAAATCTATTCATCCCTTCACAACTCTTAAATCCCTTCTAGAATTTACCATGGGAGGGCACTGTACCTCAGTGGCTAGTACTGCTTCCTCACAGCGCCAGGGACTCGGGTTTGAATCCACTCGGGCAACTGTCTGTGTGGAGTTTGCACATGCTGCCTGCGTCTGCGTGGGTTTCCTCCAGGTGCTCCGGTTTCCTCCCACAGTACGAAGATGTGCAGGTTAGGCGGATTGGCCATGCTAAATTGCCCATAGTGTCCAGGGACATGTAGGTTAGGTGGATTAGCCATGGGAAATGCAGGGTTACAGGGGTGGGATAGAGGGTTGAGTCTGAGTGGGATGCTCTTTGGAGGTCGCAGTGGACTTGTTGGGCCAAATTGCCTGTTTCCACACTGTAGGGATTCTGTGAATTCATTGCTTCAACTAGGTTTCTTGGGTATCTTCCGGTTTCTATGTCTTGCCTTTTCAGTGGCCATGCCTTCATTTGCATTTGCTGTAACCTCAAAGCAATATTTCAGACAGAAGGATCATTGGACTCGAAACATTAACTCTACATTCTCTCCATAGATGCTACCGGACCTGAGTTTCTCCAGCAATTTTTATTTTCTTTCATTTTTGAGCTAGCTGCTCAGTCTCCTTATATTATATCCTTCTCCAAAGATCTATCTTTGTCTAGATCAGGCCTCATGGCTACTGTGTGGTAGCTAGCTGATCAGCTGTCCACTGCCAGTTTTCGCACTCTTCCTGTATAGGTTGGTTGTCACTTGTAAAAGGCTTAATTGGAGCTGAGAACATGGTTAGTTGCGGTTATAATTCTACACTCTGTTCCTTTTCCAGCACACAGCATTGAATATCACATCAACACATCACCAGTTGTCCAAAACTTTCTGCAGCTTCACCTTTACCGAATTCCAGTTATCTATAACTAAATCTTAGGCTGAATTCTACCAGAAGTCGGCTCAGTTTCAATTTAGCAAGTTTCATGGAGGGTCTCTCTCTTTGAGCCCTGGCAAGTTTTCTCAACTTTATGCTTCAATTATACACCCTGAGACGTTTCTGTCCAAGATCAAGTCACTGGAGGAGTAAGCAGCAAGCTGGAGTCACCTGATACCCACACTAACCTTCATGTCAGGAATAATTGCTGTGTAGTTTCTTTCCAGTTGATAAAAGAATGGAATCTACATATAAGTGAGGCAAGGCATTATCAGAATGAGGATGTTAATGCATGCTAAGCTTGTCTCACCATTCAACACTTAGAGAATCAGGCTTTTTGCTCTTGACATCAAGATATTCCTCACTGGCCATCTCTTACTATTCTTTCACACTTCTCACCAAATCCCACATTGTTCAGTGGATCAGAAAATTCATACGTTGATATCATCTCTAGGCGGTAGGACCAGATTCTGCAACATTAAAGTTTATTTCGGCCAGTTTAGGGAGAAATGTTAGCCATTGGAACTAGTCACAATAGGTATCATTTAAATCCATGTATTATCTCATAAACAACAAATATGCAACAGTTCTGATCAGACTCACTTAGTTAACTTAATCAGTATTACTTCCTTTTAACACAAAAAAGTTGCACTTTCCCATATGAGGGAATTGTCTTTCTTGACCTAAACAACTCAGCTTCCAATCTGCTGCATTCTTCTAAGCATACTGGTCAAATCTTGTTCTGGAGATTTTTGGTTAAAAGTTGCCTGTGGCTGTCTCTGCCTCTTTCTGACACCTTTAAGGTTTCAGACTGCCACCACAAAAAGAATTTGATGTAATCTATTCTTATAAATGCTGTTTATTTATTCATTAAATTCTTAATACAACATTTTTACTGTAATAAACAAGGCCCCTGTAATGGAACCTAACTAACCAAGCCTCAAAATTGGTCTTGCTTGCAATTGTTTCTGTAGAGTTCAGATTGATAGTTTTCTGATAGTAGGTTTAATAATCATTGGAATGACTAGTTAACTTTGTGATTTTCTGACATGCATCCATGTCCCCCATTAGAAATATCATATAATCATAGAAATCCCTACAGTGTGGAAACCCTTGGAGCATCCTACCCAGACCCATCCTCCTAATCTACACATCCCTGAACACTTTGTCAATTTAGAAAGGCCAATCCACCTAGCCTGCACATCTTTGGACTGTGGCAGGAAATCGGAGCACCCAGAGAAAACCCACGCAGACACAGGGAGAATGTGCAAACTCCACACAGACAGTCACCCGAGGGTGGAATTGAACCCAGATCCCTGATGCGGTGAGGCAGCAGTGCTAACCACTGAGCCACCATCCTGCCCTAATGTGCATCTTATATTGCATCTGCCAGCTTTGCTGTCCTATATGTTTAACTGCTTAAGAGTGGGATATAGCGTGCTGGCTACATTTTAACACACATTACACCAAGATCTCACCTTGTAAAATTTAAAATGTGACCACACACACAGCGGAGAGCTAGGGTTGGAATTTTGCTACTGAGGTGGGGAATGCAAGTTGAAAAATTTCCTCTAACCCTCAGCTTAGCCATCTCCTTACACCTCACCCACCCTAATTTGGTAGCGTCCATGCAGACTCAAATCTTCCACCTTCGCAACTCACTTAGTATCCACCATGGTTAGACATCAGGAGCTATGTAAAGCTGAAATAAAATAGGCTTTCACAATATAAGAGAGGACACCACCTCTAGGTAGCACAAAGAACACACATGCGCATAGTCAACTGATTATTGTGCATTCTTTTCCTAACACTTGAAAAATCTGATGGTGACTTAATTGAAAATTCTCTCATACTCTCCTCTGGGTGCTCTGGTTTCCTCCCACAGTCCAAAGATGTGCAGGTTAGGCAGATTGGCCATCCTAAATGGGGAGGCATCGTGGCTCAGTGGTTAGCGCTGCTGCCTCACAGCGCCAGGGATCTGGGTTCAATTCCACCCTCAGGTGACTGTCTGTGTGGAGTTTGCACATTCTCCCCATGTCTATGTGGGTTTCCCCCCACAGTCCAAAGATGTGCAGGTTAGGTGGATTGGCCATGCTAAATTGCCTGTAGTGTTCAGGGATGTGTAACTTCGGTGGGTTATAGGGTAATTGGTCTGAGTGGGATGCTCCGAGGGTTGGTGTGGACTTGTTGGGCTGAAGGGCCTGTTTCCACACTGTAGGGATTTTATGATATGAGTCTATGATCAATGAAATGCCCTGTAGTGTACAGGGACTTGCTGGCTGGGTGAGTTAACCATGATAAATGTGGGGTTATGGAGGTAGGGTGGCAGTCTGGGTGAGATGCTGTTCAGTGGATCAGTGCAGACTCATTGGGCTGAATGGCCTCTTTCTGCACTGTAGGGATTCTGTGATTCTATGTGTATTTTACTTGCGCCTCCTTGAGTACAAGAACAATAAAATTCTTAGTTATGGTTTCTATTCCTGATCACCAGTTTGTTGATTTATTTCAACCTCACAAATCAGAAACTCAAATCTCTGAGTCAAATTTGATTCACTGAGGCAACGGTTTGTGCAGAAAATGTATTAATTTGTGATTCAAATTACAATTAATTAGCTCACTTAATTTAGAAAAAAAAATCTCCCATGCATGAAGCCCATTCAAATTTTCTAAATTACAATGTCTAATTTCTAACAAAAGTAAACAAATTCCTATTCTTACTCCACATAAAAAAAGCATGAACTTGGAACCTAAGATGATAATAGGTTTTGAAACTCAGCGAAGTGAACAAATACTGCACGAGCAGCACTGACTTGTCGAGGCTGTCCCAACAGAGAAACCATGATGGTTAGCAGGACTTATTTGTGTTCCCAGTGTGTTCACATCAACTCACACTGTGGGCTAGCGCACTTGCAACAATAAAACTAGGGAACTCAGCACCAAGTCCAAAAGGTTCTGCAGAGTTTGGGTTTTCTTCCTGTAGGAATTACTTTCAACTCCCCCCATTCACCTAACAGTAAAATTTGGAATCTCTGAAATGGGAGCAGGATTCCATGGAGGTTTTGTAAAAATCCAGCCCTTAACACAGACAAATCTCAGCCTGTCTTCAGTTACGGGACTGGCTAATGACTTGTACGTTGCATGCAATGTTTGGTGATTCACTAGTTTTTCCGGATTCAGCTTCATTTATTGTCATTTAGACAGATTCGGTGAGAAGCTGGCTTGTTGAAGAGTAGAAGTAGTTGCAGTTAACAGTGGAGTTGCTTCCAGAGCAAAATAAAATGAGGTGATATTTAATTTTCTAAAGTTATAAAGTCTCAGGCAACATGGCTTTCAGAAGAATTTTAATTTTAAATCACCGCTTGCTGTTGTAAACCAGGGAGTCAGCGACCCTCCTCCCCTAGTTCTGGACTGACCTACAAGCCAAATTGTGCATGCAAAGTATGAAGACGTATGAGCAGAAGTCACAGCATCAATTCAAAATGAATCTTGGTGCTTCTTATTGAATCTATTGAAAGTAGGATAGCTGCTTTGAACAAATCCTTTCTAGTGGATGTTTTGAACAATTTCTTGCAAATGTGTTGACATCGCACAGATATGAGAGCTTTGAAATATTGAATTTTCATTCCATTGACCCCTTTCTAGGTTCTATAGAAATACTAATGGAGAATATATCTCAAAATAAGTATGAGTCACAATCATTTGCTTGTGTTTAATAATGTTAGCATTAAATGTCTGGTGTATCTTAACTGGATAATTTTTGCTGAAAACATGACATTGCCTGCTGACATAAGGTTGTAACTTTTTTTTGTCCATAGTGATATACCTAGAATTCCGGAGAGTTCCCATCCTCCTTTGGAGTCTAGTAAGTACTTCCCGAAAAGGAAGGATTTGGATTTCTAATCCCTAAATTTCTACATTTGATTGGTCCTGCTATTTATTGCCTTTGAATTCCCCGGTATCATTTGCCATCCAGTAACATACAGGAACAATCTGCTATCATGTTATTTATCAATGATAAATTGCCTTCCTGGAGCTTGACCTGGCTTGATTAAGAAGAGTTCTCCCTATTGCATACAGTTCTGTTCACCACACTACCAGAAGGATGTGGATGCTTTGGAGAGGGTACAAAAATGGTTTACCAGGATGTTGTCTGGTAAGCGGGATTTTGGCTATGAAGAAAGGTTGGATAGACTGGAGATAGTAGGAACTGCAGATGCTGGAGAATCCAAGACAACAAGGTGCAGGGCTGGACGAACACAGCAGGCCAAGCAGCATCATAGGAGCAGAGAGGCTGACGTTTCGGGCCTAGACCCTTCATCAGAAAAGGGGGAGGGGAAGGGGGTTCCGAAATAAATAGGGAGAAAGTGGGAGGCGGATAGAAGAGGGATAGAGGAGAGGATAGGTGGAGAGGAAACAAGCAGGTCGAAGAGGCGGGGATGGAGCCAGTAAAGGTGAGTGTAGGTAGGGAGTTAGGAAGGGGATAGGTCA